AGTATCGTTGCTCGAAAAACTTCACTGTGCCCTTTATTTCCAAGTAGTACCGCAGCGTAGTTGTTCTTGTGGGAATCTCTTCAGCTTCCCCCAGCATGGGGAAAATTCCTGCCCACCTAGAGATTGCAATGTCGCCTCCATTGCAGGATGCTTTCCACAATCACAAAACACAAAAAAACATTGTACTTTGGGCTTTAACTCTAACTTGACTAACCCAAGCCCTCCTTTTTTTTAACAAATAAAAAGTTTTTTTTTATTCTTTCGAAACATGATTCCCATACATACGTTGCACAAAATTGGTGCATTTTCTGCACATCACTTGTTCTACAAGGCACTACTTGCGGAGAATACCAAACAGTAAAAAAAAAACACCGCGTTACAGATGTAGCTTCTACTTAGAAGAGGAACATTTCTTCCATGCCATTCAATAACCTTCGGTCTAAGAGTGTTCAGGTGAACTCCCCCCGCTCCTCTGCAGAGCTGCTCTGCTCTCATCCCTACTCCTAAATAATTTGCTATAAACTCAAACCATGCAATGTTCAGAAAAGATTCAGGCTTTAAGGACCATGGTCCCAGCCAAAACCCGGAAGATCTGTTTCGAATCATTTCGTCCCGGAGTCGACACAAAAGTTTTGGACGTGTTCCAGAGCAAGTATAATTTCTTTCCGTGCCGCACAAATCAGAGTGATGTCATCAGCGTATGCAAAAAGTTTTGTTGACGCTTTCCCCAGCTGTGCTCCACGAATATTTTTCGTCATTCAGGATGGCCTTTCACAGGGGTTCTAAATAAATAGCAAACAAAATAGGTGATAACGGAACCCCTGCCTTACCGAGGATCGCACGGGGATAGTTCTCAACTTGCTACCGTTGGTTAAAAGACGAGTAGCTATGTCCTTGTAACATATTTTCACAAAGTTTAACAAATAGTCCCTGTCCCACAATGTTCTGAAACTGAAAATAGAAAGGAATGGGAAACCTTATCATGACTTTTTTGAGGTCGATTTGTAGCACAGAGGACGTCTCAGTCCTTCCGCGGTTTTGGCAACAGTCCGCACCAGACGCAAATTCGTAGTTATCGATCTATGTTTGAAGCCATATACTTGGTGCTTGCCCAAAACTGTTCTAAAGGCAATTTCCAGACGCCTAGCTTATATTTTTGCGAGTATTTTATGGTCAGAGGTGAGTAGGCTGATAGGTCTGTTGTCTTTGTATCCTCGGTAAAATCTGTTGGTTTTCTTTTTTGGTATCAATACCGCAACGGCCTTCCTCATTCATGGAGGGAGTAGGTTTCTTCTATAAACGTCGCCGTAAACTTTAGTCAATATAGGCGCCAGTTGTCCGGCAAACTGCTTGTAGAACGCTCCCCAAGGTCGTCTATACACCGGGGGACTTACTAGGTGCTAACTCTATTACAGCTCTGCATACCTCGGCCTCAGTAATATTCTCGCTGATAACATCTCTTACATCTTCCGGCACCTTAGGCATTCCATTCAGAATTTTATCGGCGGGGCCATGGTTAGAGCTTGTAGGTTGATTAAACAGTTCATTGTAGAAAGAAGCAAACTTTTTCTCTATTTTATCAGCATCGGAAAGAATGCTACTGCCGCATTGCAGTTCATCGATATGGTTTCGACACGCTCGCTCCCGCTCTCGCGTTTTAAAAAGTTTAGTCGGGTCCTCTGCCCCGCCTATCGTGCATTGCTCCGTGATACTCTTCTTCTATAGATGTTCTAACAGCCGTGCCTTGCAGTCCCTTATGTCTGGTGCAAAACATCCCGGGCTCTTACTTTCCTCACGTACCAACGTAGCGGCTTGATCTGTTCCAGCTTTTTTGAGCGTCTCTTTAAACTTTCTTCTGACAAAACGAGATTACGCACATTTTCATATCTTCCTTCAATTAAGCTCCCAGTTAAAAGCGTTTGCTTCTCTACGACCCCTCATGTTTGCGATAAGGTCTTTCTCCGAACTTAGCAGATACTCTTCCTCGAGTACCTTATCATTCAGTTTCCACGCTTGCCATGATAACGAACTTTTTTTTTGTCTTTCTTATCTTGTTACTTATTACAACTGCGACGATTGCATGAGCCAAGAAGGCCACCGATTTCACATTGTAGCCCGTCGTTGTCATTGCTGCGCCACTAGACACGCATATCATGTCCAGTCGCGCATGACACTACCCTTGCCAGTGCGTGTATAAGTTTGGGCTGTCCGAAAAATCGGTGACATCCTGAAGATAAAAATCTCTTAGCGGCTTTTAAAGTTCGAACCGGTACGGCCCGGGGCGATCACCAAGGCCGTACCGTGGGGAAGGCGCAATTGGTGCGGCATCGTCTCCAGGCTGACGCCATCCTCGAGCTTTAGGCGCACTGACCGTGTGGTGGACTCTACGCCTTGGAAGTCGTGTTTATGCCAGCCTTCCCGGACGACGTCTTCTATTCTTCCGTACAGCTCAAGCGCCCTTCAGATAGCTTGGTCCTGCACGTCGCACAGCACCCAATGCGGCTTCTACCGCACCTCAGCCTTGTTGGGGTCGAGCACAAGACGGCGCTTGTCCTTGACCAGAAGTTCTGCTTCTAGAAGCTTCTGCTTGGACGCCAGCGAGTGGAAGGTGGACATCCATACGTGATTCATTTGGTACGAACCACAAGCTTTAAAGGTGTTTCAAGATCCCAGCGCTCTCCAGCCCTGTCTTAAAGGCACCAATCTTTTATGGCCGTCCAGTAACATCGCAGTACAAAAAGACGGTGGTGCAAACCACAGTACCCGTCGGCAGTTGAGGCAGAACAAGACGGTAGTCCTGGGGCACTTCGTTAGCAGAAAAACCGCCGCCCGATAGGGCCGTTAACATAGCTCCGGAGGAGCCAGCCATTCTTGCGTCTGCGCTCGGCGAGAGCCGGGAACATAATGGCGGTGTAACCACTCGGCCACGCATTTGCTCGCTCACCGACGCACGTGGCAATATAATGCTTTACATATATAAAATCTGCTGCTTTTATATATGTAAAGCATTGACGTCACCCGACTCGGGCGGAAGAAGGCCCATTGTTCTCGGACGTATCTCAATTATCAGACGTTTATATTCATTTCCATAGAATGGAGCGCTTTTACACGCAATTTCTGATTGTCTCTGCACACGTATGCCAAAAATGCATAGAACCCTAGCCAATACAGCTTCGGTGTAAAGACCAAAGCAGAGCGTGAATACGACCACCGCCCATCTGTTATCAGGTATTCTGAGCGGGTCGAACAACAAAATAAAATAATTTTACTACACACCACGACACCAAACATACCGCGAAAAACACACCACGACACCTTGGTGTGTTTACGCACAAGTACCGCTGCCGTCAAAGCGGTAGAATTGTAATTCACGTACGTGCGTCAGTAACCCATTGAAACCTTTGAGTAAAACGAGTGATCGTCGATCAACTCACATTCCGAGCCAACGATGTCGCCTTCTTTTTAATCACGTTTTCTTGTGATTTTAGCATGATTATTTTCCACATAGTACCGAGCCGCTACAAACACGTTTTTCTGTGTGACTTTATTTTGTTTGCTTGTCGTTTAGGCACAGGCGGTTTGGCCGCGCGAAGTGGCTTCCGTTCTGAACTGATCTTTACTCCGTGTGTGCTGTCGTTTATGGCCAATGAAGTGTCATGCCGAATTAGATGCCGAATCGACGACGACAACGCCACTGCATTGCTCCGGGGTGCCAGTCAGGCTATCAGCTGCAGAAACGTGAGCAGCCGTCGCTGTTCTCAGTGCCTAAGGAGGAAGAATAAAAAACGTTTGGGGAAAGAACTTCCATCGCAAGGATGAGCTACTGGACGAAATATGTTCGATATGATAGCTTCATTTTGAGCCATCGTTTGTAACGCGAGACTTCGTTCACATTATAAACGGAGAAGAGGTTCGTAGTTCCCCTATAGAAAGCCGGAGCTCTTTCCGGGCGCTGTGCCGGTCCTGGTTCCGAATGGTCCGAGCTACCTGTCAAGGAAAGCGTCGCAGCCAAGTCCCCCGAGCAAGCGAAAGAACGTTGATGCTTCCTCCGTTGACGCTAAAAGAAGGCCGAGCACTGCCTCTTCAACTCCCTGCAGCAGCACCACACCGGCTGCAGCCGATACCAAGACGTTTGATGGAACCTGTCTGCCCGAAGAATACTCCACGCTGTGTGTTACCTCCGAACACTGGAGCTGTCACAAAGTTCCGAGCCTCAGCGGAATGTTTCTCGAGACAGCATGCCTGCTGTTGTATACACTGTGCATATTTGTGGCAGCATGACTGAAGGAGGACGCGTCGGTAGCTGTGACAGCTTCGTCCTGTTTCTAGTGGCAGGCCCCTGGTAGGCACACCTGCCTTAAAATACTCCCGCAAAGTGCAAAAAAAAAAACTCGGGCATTGAGACGACGCCCAGGAAATTGGTCTAGCGGCCTTCGCCTTGCGCGTCGCGCATTTCTGATTCGTACCCCGCGGAAAGCGAACACAGCCAGACGAATTCCGTCGCTCGTCTCAGGCTCGCGTAATTCTTTTGTGGGGTTCGGAGGTTCGGACCTAGAACGGCAAACATTTCAAGCCAAAAAGGTTCAACAAAGAGCGTTCAGTCGCGCAGAAAGTGCAATGTGAGCCGCCCTGGCCGCCCGCTTTATCCAGCCTATCCAGCCCATGCTTTAGTGGCGCCCTCTCGAGCCGTCGACATGGAGTGCGGCAGCCGTGAGCGCTCGCTGAACTCACTATCCCTGCTCTTGGTCATGGCTACCCAAGCCAGGACCAAGCACATCATGAAGGATGCTATTTCTTGCTTGTTTTTGTATATTTAGGTTTGCCTATAACTTTTAAAATAAAGCTAAATTCAAGAAAAGAAAAGTTTCACTAATGTACTACGCTCAGGTTCGGTGCAAATTAAAAACCATTCAAAAAGTCGTTGCAGGGTCCTTTTAAGACACATTGCTATTATCTGTATGCTGTAATTTTCCTGCGCTTTGATTTGACGCTAGTCAGTGTTATTTGCTGTCACTCGTATAGAACCGATTCTGCAGCTTGTTCGACAAAGGTACAAGGAGGAGTTCACGTGCGAACTCCTCCAGATGATATTGCAACCACATGCATGTGGTTGCAATGTCATCTGGCTTTTCGTACAACCACAGGTCGTGGTCGCCTAAAACAAAACACGACAAATTTTCAATTCGTGCGGTAGAAAGGGCGACGCGTATTCCGCAGAATTCCCCGCAGGGGCACCTGTGAAAGCAGGTGTTTGGTGAGTGGCGTCACCACGGACCCCGAGCCATGCAGGTTCGCCCGCCCACCTTAGGTGTGTGTCGCCATCGCGAAAATTCGACCGGGAAGGTCGAGCGTGCGGGGGGGGGGGGGGGGGGGGGGTGAATGAACAGGCACTTTTGAAAAAAAGAAACTAGGGCAAAATGATAAAAGTGACGCCCCGAGTAAAAATAAATAAGGATCTCTTAGACTACCGTGACCGGGCGCTGCCTGCTAGGCCTGCGCGCGGCAATGTGAAAAAAGAAGAAAGCTCCTGGCCCCTCCGATACCGTGATAAAATGAAATCCTTTACGTAGGCGCACAAGTACGAATTTCAAAGAATTTTTTTTATTGCGTTCTTCATCAAGGTTTACAGGCATGAACAACATATACGTCGTGGTAGTAGTGTGGATTTCCGCCATCTTTCTCCGCCCAAAACGTACGCAGGACATTGGCGAGATCGTTCTTGAACTCTGTTCTCGATTCCTCCGGAAGCATCGGTAGAATCGGATTTATAGCTGTGCTCATTTCTGAAACAGAGACGCCCGTTCATTGTCCACATCGTTCGTGTCGAACGTTGCATGTCGAGAGCAACAGGCCGGCTCTATTGGTTGTAGTACGAGAACGGTCACTAGCCGTGGTGCCAATGTCCAACAGCGCGGAGAACCCGAGTTCGACAATTAACTTGAAGAGTTAACTGTTGGAATCAAAAACTTCGCCTACGTGGTACAAGTCGCCGCCAGATCAAAATGGTTCGACCGTATCCATCCAGCCATCCATTGGACATTGTTCTTGTGTTTTTTGGTACCACGTGGGGTCAAATAATTTCACACGTATCGGCATTTTATGAGCATGAGTTGTAACTTCCTTCGAATGCATAATTGGTGACAAGAAGCAACTTGCTAAAGTTTGAAACGTAATTTTCTTTTTGGTGTTACCATGACGCCACGTGACGTCATGATGTTACCTGTCCATGACGTCATGTGATGCTGTCACTTCGCGTGACACGTGGTTTGCACTCGACACCCATTCTGTGCTCACCGGTCTTTGTCACCGTGATCAAGATTGCGTTTTTATTCCTTATCCATAGAGCGAGCTGAATATCGCGATGGTCATATTCTGTACATCACACGTTTAGTTTCGGTTTCACCTCGGACGTCTGGCAACTAGAGCCTGCGGAGGTATGCCGCCGGAGGGCGCGGGCGTCTGAATAAATCGTTTCGTGTTACACTTTCGGAGCCGGAGGGACAGGCCCGCACCGGGGCTAACACGCTCATGCATTACTTTATCTTGTGTAGTCAAGTATAGTAAATAGATTTATGTAGCGGACATCTCCACAACAGTACCATATTGAAAATAAGTATAGATAGCCGCTCTGTCATAACCCGCCAGTACACTGCAATCGGTCCTAGGGAACTAAGAGTGATACTCACCAATGGTTTCGTCCATGTCCTCGGCTCTTATTTCTATTCTCAAAACTTCACACGTGTAGGGCACGAGATTGACCGTTTTGAGCACCTTCGTCATGTACGAAATCAGGCCAGAGTGGTCGGCGATGTTATGGCTCACTGGGGTGTAGAACTCGCAGATCTGAAACAAACAAATTAATTCCGTTAGTCGTTCTGTAACTACCTAAATACTGCGAAGAAGTTCCGGGGTCGTGTCTTAAACTCTCAGAGATAAACATATAAGCGGAAACAAACAGCTATTGCACGTACTGTTTAAACAAGAATATTAAGTTATTTTGGGGTTCTTTCTAACATATCTTGTAAAAGACTATGCAGAGAGTGCGGAGGTAAATAAAAAACAAATAATGGCCGACCTTCCGGTTGGCTATTGCTTTTGCTTGTTTTTAAGGATCCTCAGGGAATAGCATGAACTTTAGGAGCCTCACCGCCGAGTATTAGCTGCGGTACCTTTCGAAAAATATATGCACGAGATCGACATGGCCTTCCTGATCCCTTGAGTGAAAAGAAAGAGCACTTGTTTCTCGAAGTAATGACAAATCTGCCGAAGGTATCGCGGGCGCATCTTGACGACTACCTTTTCGACTAGCCTGGTCCATATACCCGAGAATAACTTCAAACCTTCAAGTCATTAAGCGTGTTCAACTGCTTCGTGAACGGCCAGGCATCGGCGGTAGGCACCTACCTCCCTTAGGCACCGAAGATAAGCGCCAAGCTTCCCTGCAGGGGTAGCCGAGCCGAGTCTCGGTTTTAGCAGACAATCTTCCGAAAGGTTTTATTCCGCCTGCTTCAGCGCAACGAGAGTCTGTATGAGGCACGAATTTCTAGTGTTTTGACTTTCCTGGTTTAGTATCCAAGGTTTCTTTCTCAGTGGACCGTGCACATTGATTGCATTTGTACGTGCCGTAATGGACCATCGTTGTACGAAGAGGGTCGGTCGAGGCGCAGCGTCGTCGGCGCCCGCATTTTTTGCGTTTGTCGCGTTGTGCCATCTGTCGCCAGCACATCGAAGTCTGCTAGCACCGTCTGCCAATGCCGTCGTCCTGCAATCACCCAGGCTAGGCGGCGTCGGTGGTGTCCCTCGTCTTGAGATGATCATAATAACGTCACTCGCGCCATTTTATTCGTGCCGGTAAGCATCCGCAACTTAAAAGCACTACACTGGGTCATTTCTAGAGCGTTCTTCTCACGGAATTGTTCGCTAGTGAACAAGAGTCGTAGCGAACTTACCCAAACACACGGTAAACGTTGGAGAAACCGGAAGAATACTGTCTCCCTGTCATGGCGGCCAGAAGTGACCAGAACACCCCGTCAATAACAAGGTGAAAATCACGGAGCATCTTTTTCCGAACGCCCTGCTTCCAGCACGTACTCGCTGCCTTCCGCCGTGCTTTGACTGCGCGTGCGTCTTCGAAGCTCGTAAGACGCGGAACCGCTATCGACGGTGGAAAGCCCGCGCTGGAGGCGGGACTACTGAACCTCGATCCTTCCTGCCGTTCCCCTCCTTTCCCTCAGCTTCTAATCGTGCAGCTCACAATAAAGGGCATACCTGTGCGTACGATTTCCATCGATCCATCCGAACGATTCTCCTCCATATTTCGAAGGTCGTCGAACGAGCCACGATGGTGAGTAGGCACTCGCCGCCAGAGGTCATCAAGTCGGATATATGTCCGAACGCCGTCACTTGGTCCTTGACCCATTGCAGAACGAAAAACGAGTAGACGCGGTCAAACTTTCCGTAATTCTTCACCAGACCCGAAGCGTCGTCCGCAATGTCGTACACCTCGTACTCGATCTGCGGATGCGGGTAATTCTCTCTGGCGTACCAGACCATGTCCTTGGCCACGTCTGTGGCGATGATCCTGCGGCAAGGCTGGCATCGTGGCAAGAGTTCCTGGAGCGTGAAGTCACCGGTCCCGCAGCCCAAGTCCATGAACTGCTGCTGGTCCGCGTTGGGTTTGTCCCTGAAGGAATACTGGAGGAGCTCGATTGCCCGGATGTTGACGGTTCGCTGCAGCGCGTTGGCCTTCACGTAGAGCTCGGGAAAGAGCCTCGGGAGTGGACGAGACTCCTCGGTCACCGCGGGATACGGGGGACCCGTTGTGTTCAGAACGTGACATCTAGGGCTACAATGCATGACCTCTGTTCCGGAGAAATCCTGAAAGTAAAAGTCCGAATGAAACGGTTGTGAACAGATTCTAGAGAAGAACCGAGTTCACATATAGCCGGTACTGCACAGCGGGTAAACTCACTGGGAGTATTAGAAACGAGGGCGTGGTTTATTGTATCTACGTTTTGAACTTCGCCATTCGTTCTTCAGGCTACGCGCCACGCGCTTCGTTTCAGAGATTGCTAGAAAACAATTCAAAAACAAATTAATATTTTTAAAAAAATTTTTATTCGCAAAATTAATTTGGGCATTGCCGTACGCTCCTTCTCAGCCCAAAACTCTGCCATCTGCTTCGGACCGCTGTCTCTGCATTTGGGCGGCGAATGAGCGTTCGGTGGTGCGCACTTTATTTTTACGGTGAGAGGAACACTTTGAAATTTGGGAAGGAGTTCATGGTGATGATTTTAAAATGCACAGAAAGATTTAAAAAATGTTTTGAACAGAATAATCGATTACCGTGAAATCTATTGCCTGTTTGTACACACTCGTAGATGTTCACCTAAACTAAAAGGATCCACATTGTTTGAAATTTAACACACAAAACAAAGTTAACAAAAAATTTGCAGCTATTTTTTTACCTTTCTCTTTTTTTACCTTTCCGTTTCCCTTCGTTCAGTTTTATTGCTATTTAACTCAATCATGTTGAGTCCACAATGCGCTCCGATTTTTACGCAAAACCTCGGCACAAATTGGATTTACTTTTTTTTTCGGTCGACGAGTGTTTTTCAGAAATGTGTTTCTTTTGTGTGATATAGTGCCACTAAATAAGCTACGCTTCAGAGTAACGACACTTGACCATATAGTGTTTAAAATCATGGTTGCCAGTTATCTGAAGCTTTATCTGAAATCGCAGGAAACGCTCTTCCGTCCTCCACAAATGTTTAAACAGTTCGCGGCAGGGCAAGGCAGTTTTGCATGAGCTTCCTAATATCGAATATGATGCTGAGGAAGTCGCACTTTTGAATCATGACCATCTGCAGTTGCGTCTGCTCTGCACAAGCCCCAAAATGGCGGCGCCTGCAACTATATCGGGGAACAAAGTGCCTCTAAGCGCAGGTCATTTAGTGGCTCTATAGTGTGATATATAAAGCAATGCCTCGCATCGAACATTGAGGTGTCTGCATGTTTTCTTGTTTTGCTTTTATTTCAGCACTACAGAGACATCGCCTGTTTTATGAACTCATTATGCGTAGCGATTTTTCTAAATCGCCCTGTCACATTGCTTTTTTGCTTGATTCACGACACAATTGCGTTTCAAGTTACGAAAACAGCAATATCGACACAAAGCAACAAGCCAAAGAGTTATTACAATAAACGCTAGAGGGTGAGGTGGCGCTAGTGTGCTGTTGCATCTTGAAGCAAACAGCAACCCGTCTGAACCTTACTTTCGGTAATGCATTACTATGGGAAAACGCAGACGCGTTTTCTCTTCGCACTTGATTATGACAGCATATATTGCTTAGTACAGGTTTGGAACGTTTTACAAGCGGATTTACAAAAATATGTCTGAGCGTTTTTCTTTAGAATTCATGGCGTCGAACACTGCGCTAAAATAGCCCAACACGCACGTATAATACGTGTTGACGTTGCAGACCACTATTATAGGGCACGCATTTACGCATATTCAATGCTATGAAGCACACAGATTGAGTCAGCTTGACAAAACACCAAAATGATGATAATAGATGCCAAATCAAACTATCAAAACAGACAAGAACGATCCATGGAGTTATGGAGCGAAGAACATGTACTGGATTAGTACGTGCTCTAGTACAGTTTGAATACTATTACAGCTTGAATAAACCATACGCACTTTGTGATTGTTCGTTTTGCTTGAATTGATAGCCTGTTTTTACATATCATGCTATACAACATAGACCTGCATGGGCCTCAATGTTTGCCAACCTAAACATAGCTGAGTAATGAAAAAAACATTAACTAAATAAATTACACCTTTATATAACGTGAATAAAGCTACATAGTACTCGTTACGAGTAAAAAAACTACGCTGATTTCTATTATTCCCTGACGAAGAGAAAAATGTTACGTACGTTTTCCCATAGGAATACACAGGAAGACTGGACAAGTAGACTGGTTGCTGTCTGCTTCAATTTGCAATCGGAAGTCCCGTAGACACTAGCGCCAGCTGTGCCTGTAGTGTTTATTGTAATAACTCTATGCAACGGGTTACACGAGCATCTCTTTTTGTGCACGTGTCGGTCACTGCCTTGTTTGTTTAATTTGTCTTTCTGCATGCACAGACCGTTAACAACAGTTGTTCCACGATAGATTATTCCGGAAATATGTTGCACCCCTCCCCCCCCCCCCCCCCCCCCATGCTTCAAGCTTCTTGACGTTTTAATCTATAGACGATTGCAAGCAAGGCAACTGGCCGTCGCCATGTCTCCGTTTGTGGGGAGAAGCCCGTGCAATTGCAAGCTTGCCAAAGCTATGTTCATGAGCAAGTTGCATGCGCTTGCCCGGAGCGGGCACCAGTCGGATCGACATGCTTGCAATTGTCTATATGGCACATGAGATCATCGGGGATTGGAAGACGAAGTTAACGCCGGTTTCACATCTGGTTTTAGAAGTAATGCAAAAAAAAGTGTGTGATGACATCCTTTTGTGTTCGCTTTATTTTTTGTGCGTTTGGGGCTTCTGATGATCAGACGGAATGAATCGTGCCGCTTCCAGAATACACTAAGCGTTTGAACCGGCACGGGCGTACATCGAAACAGCCCCAATGATGGACTTGATGGACTTTTGAAAAGGGTCTGTTAGACCCCTTTCAAAAGTCCACCGGGAAACGTTGACGGTCGCCATTGCGTGGACACCAACGTTACTAAAGCACTCAGTTGGGAAACTCGCCCTTGAAACACGGACCCGTCGCTTCCACCGAAAACGAACTAAATACGATAACACCACCACCCTTAACAACGAGCCAAAAGCATGAAAGTAAACAGAAAGCCAAAAGCATGAAAATGAAAGTCGCGTCGCACGGAGTGTATAACACTCCTTGCGACGCGACCGGCGCGCCGCCGCGCGCCCGTTACCGAAGGTAGGCAGGCAGTGAGAGTCCCAGCGAAACGAAACCACGCCGCGTACACTGGTACGCATTGAAGTCGGAGCGGTGCGGTTGCATTGGGTTGACAGCATGAACTGCTGTGTCGTTAAGTGCTCCAATAGTTATGCGTCGTATCTTGTGGGGACGCAATTTCACAGTTTTTCACCTCGCTGATGTTTTGTGGGACAGCGACAACGATGGACCGGCCGCGTAAGACGCGAGAAATTCGGTCTCCGGATCATGTCTGCCACTGTGTCGGCACGGCTGACATATTCTACACTGCCGCTTTGCGCTCTGCGTTTGTTTTCGTACCAGTAATGCCATCCCACATTCATGGGTATGCAGTGCGAATTTCGTTGAATGAATGCCCTCCAAGGAAGTTTCGTCCTCCTCGGACGTGTCGAGGATATTTCCGGACCAGTATGGCACGCAGTCTGTACTTCATGAAGAAAGATTCGGACGGTACAAAAAGCGACCAATATGAATCTAAGGAAAACTACAATGAAACTTGGAATGAATGGACAATCGATGTTTGAGTATGGAAGTTTATGTGGTGTGCTTTCTTTTTTGATCGGCCTCCTTTTGGATGTGAAAACACTGACACCCCGAGTCTTGTAGACAAATTTTTTTTTTCTCGGCTTTAGAGCTACCTATCGCAAAGTTGTTCGAACTCGAAGTACCGTCCACCGGTACCTTCCTACCTGTAAAGTGGGCACCTCCAGGCCATGATGAGTGGTATTCTCTTGACAGCCTTTGACGGTCAAAACCGGTTCCCATTTAGTTACGCCGCTCAAAAATATTTCCACCTGGTTAAACTATGCCATCTTTTCTAGGTTTAATAAGTGTTTTGTCAAGTTACGGTTGTCCAAGTACCTGTGTGCCGAAAATCAGACCCTCGCACAACCAGATTACTACACAACAGCTGACCGCAAAAGCCTTTGACGGCTAAACCGTGTGTTAATTGGCCGGCAGACTTGGTTTTCTCAGCTTTGAAGCCACCTTTCGTAAAGTTGCTTCAATTGGAAGTACAGTGCACTAGTCTCTTCCTAAATGTAAAGTCTCCATCTCCCACGACCAGTGGTATTCTCTTCACAGCCCTTTCACGGTCAAAACCGTTTCCCATTCAGTTACGCCGCCCAAACCTAATTTCCACCTGGTTTCCCTATGCCACCTATTTTTGATATTATAACTGTTGTGTCAAGTTACGGTCATGTCCAAGAAACTCTGTGCCCAAATCTGCACTTCGCACAGCCCGGTTATAACACAAGATTTTGGATCCAATATTGGATATTCCTGACAGCTTTATTCCTTTATTCGTTAGAACCACGACTTTCACACCTGCTGTCTTAATAAAACTTGGCCCACTTAGTGAACATCTCACTCACCTCCAAATATCATCGTCCCAGCAGTCCTACGTTTACAGCGACGAGCGAAACAAATTTCCCACTGAGAGCTGGTGGCGGCCGTCTTGCTTTTCGGAAAATTTCTCAAACCCCTTTTTCGACCACAACTAAAGAGATTACCCCTAATAACAACTCAAACTCAATATATAAGGAGGGGAGAACAGCCTAAATGCCTTTCTCAAATCTCTCCCAGCACTCATGCAACGTCACCCTCAACTTATCGGCTCAAAAAGCAAAAGTTCCGTCCGTGCGCGCTTCCGCCGCCACAGCTTCGCACGCGAAAAGGCGCCGCAGGCTGCTGAGCGCGCCTCACTGTCGAACGCCAGCTCCTCCGCTAGCGGCGCTACGCGCGTTTTTGAAAGCGCCCCCTATAGTTCCCGCACGGAGCGTATAGCTACTGCGAGATGGCGCCTTCAAAACCCGGACCACAAGCGTCCATCGAAACCAAACTAAATACGACTACAGCGCCATCTTTTAGCAACGAGTCAAAACATGAAAGT